GAGAGAGAAAAAACGTGGAACAATTTGTTTTGTTTTTAGGTGTTATTCGAGAAAAAATCCGGGATTGAATTTTTACCGGTTTCCCAATAAACCGTGGGAATCCGAATGAAAAAATAAATTGCATACAGTCCCTGTTAATATAAATTGTACTTATAAGACACAATAAATACACATTTTATTAATGATTTACGTGAAACTTATGCCCTTTACTAAACTGCTCATCATAAAAATCGACGCACCTAGTTTTTTGGAAAATATTTGAAAGCTCGTTATTGAAAAATTACTGAATCGATTTTGAAAATCTTTGGAAATTCTGAATAGCTGATTCTTTGACTCTTATGTCTAATTTTGGGAATACGATATTTTGCACATAGCATTATACTACAGGGTGTTAAACGAAGATATGTATTTTTTCCGAAATTTCAAGTTATTCCCATTCTTGAGGCAGTTGAGTTTGATAGTCGTAATACCACTCCCTAATATAAGTAAGGTAATCCCTCGGAACGTTTTCGAGATTTTGTGAATATCGAGGCTTACTACGATTATATGCCAATTTTTCGAAAATTGTCGTTATTTCCCAGTTTATTCCAAAAAATGAGCAATAGTGGATTCTTTGACTTACGTCTAATTTTGAGAATAAGATATTGTGCACATAGCATTATACTAAAGGGTGTTAAAAAAAAGAGATGTTTTTTTCCAAAATTCCAAATCCCCATTCACAGGACAGTTGATCTTGATAGTCCTAATACTCCTCCCTAATAACAGTTAGGTAATTCCTTTGGGACATTTACGAGATTTTGTGGATATCTTGGCTAACTTAGATTATACGGCAATTTTCGAAAATTCACGTTATTCTTCATTTTGGTCCAAAAAATGAGCAATATGATTGATTTTTTTACTCTTATGTCTAATTTTGGGAATACGATATTATGCACATAGAATGATACTACAGGGTGTTAAAAAAAGATATGTTTTTTTCCAAAATTCCAAATACCCATTCACAGGGCAGTTAATCTTGATAGTCCTAATACTTCCCCCTAATAACAGTTAGGTAATCCCTCGGGACATTTTCGAGGTTTTGTGGATATCCTGGCTAACTATGATTATACGGCAATTTTTCGAAAATTCACATTATTCTTCATTTTAGTAGCAATTTTTGTTCATTTAAAATAGAAAGATTGGTAAAAATTAACAAAACCTAATTTTTTAATGTAAATGTATGAAATTGCATATTTAAACGCAGTTTTTAGTTCTAATTAACTTTTCTTTATAACAATTTTTGATATTGTCAAATATAAAGGTACTTTACTCTTGCGCCAAATTCATATTTTTTGACATACCTCGTATACGACTAAAAAAAAATAATTTTTGTGGGTTGCATTTTAGTTTTACACCATGCAGAACTTTTTATGAGGAATAACTTTTTTTCCTAAAATTAATAATAAAAAAGTTTTCCATATGATTCCAAGATACTGAGACATACTGTATATATATGTTATATATATAATTATATATTTTTAATTTTGCGTACGGTCCTCAAAACTGACTCCTAGCCTAACCTCTTCCCCTCCCCCAAAAAAAAAACATGAGGCGACAGCCACTGCTGCCCCGGGCGGCACTTTTTCTAGTTACGCCGCTGGTACTCGAACGTGATTGAGAGAGACTCCAATAACTTTTGTGTTTTAAAAATTAATAATTACTATAAGCCACATTATGATTCGTTAATAGTGGCTGTAGCCATTTTCGTAGCCGTATTATTCTTTTTCTTTACTTGCATGGGAAAACGATTTCAAAATTCTATTTGAATATACCCCAAAAAATAGTTCAAACAAAATTTTAACAAAGGACCCCCCTATGGGAAATTGAGTCCTGGTGGATTTGGCCAAATTTTACGTATGTTGTAGAACATGACCCACTGATCAAAAGTTACCTTTGGCACATTCTCCAAAAATGGCCGTTTTCCGAGCTAAACGACATTTAAGTTTTAAAAAATGTCCAAATTTTAAAAATGTACAAAATGATATAAATCTTAAAATATATATTTTTTAAATTTGCAAACTTTAATTTTAATTTTATTTAACTAATAACTAATAATGCCTGCTCTACATTGGTTTTATCTAAATATGGTCTACGTTAAATGTAAGTTTACCTTTTTCCATTGGCCTGTTGGCAAAATAGAGAATAGGCACTATTTCTGGTGCAAATATCACCACAAAACAGCTAGATCTTTGCAAGTTTGAAAGTTATTTTTTCAACGAAATTTTCTTTGGTTGTCCCCTGGAACGTCTTGGGACATGTAAGGGCTGAACAAGCGAGGGTTTAAAGAAATCCCACAGGAAATCCCTCGGCACATCCTCCGGACATCTGTTTTAGAACTCTCTTAAAATTAATTAGTCAAAAGTAACTAATTATAAGTCATATTTGACTAATTCTCATAGCCAAAAAGAACACTAATAATTAGTCAAATTCTACTGAATGAAAAAGTCAAATTAGTAGATTTAAATTTAAAAAAAGTTTTGACCCAGCCGGAGTTTTAACTCAGGTCTGTCACTTATCAAGCTTGTCAAGCTGTTGTCATAACCCATGATACAACAAACCCATTCGGCCATCAGCCGCTCTTATAAAAATCAATTTTATTTGTCAATAAATATTTTTCATAATATTTTAAAGTTGAATATATTATTTGTGTTGTTGTTTTGAGCTTAACTTTTTGCATCTTTATTTGTTTTTATGGGTCATTTAACCATGGAGCTTAGGTATATGCATTTAATTCACATAATACTTTGTTGTTGGCCGCAAACGATTAAAGAAATTAGTTACTTTTAACTCTCAGAAATAGTCAATCTTAAATTAGTCAAAACTTAACCATTTACGTAGTAAAAAATGACTATTTAAAAGTGAAAACGACTATTTTATTAGTAAAAAATGCTGGTACTAATTCAAATAGTAAAATTTTGACTATCTCATTTTTAGAGAGAATATTAGTTGATTTAGAGTACAAAGCAAAGAGCACAACCTAACCCTGAAAAACCAAAACACATTGCAGCCGTCAACCAATACCTTGAAAAATTGTTGAACAAAAAGTATAAAAAAAATTAAATTTCACTTAATCGTTGATGGTGGTGAGAAATGCAACATCTCTAAGTTAGGATAAAAAAACCATAAATAAATATCTAATACTTACTCGTTTAATTTTAATTATAATACATTTTCACTTATCATTGATTTCAATTATAGAGCCTTTGTAAATTTTTCCTTACAACTAATTTTTCGATATTTTTATTTTCTTTGAGATGCGTTTTCCGAATGATAAACTGCGACTGAATTATTGTTTGGACAAACAATCATAAAATAATCCATGCTCAAATAGAAAAGTTTTTGTTTTAAAACAATACGTTTATGTAGAATAAATATTTAAATAAAATTAATTCACTTAACCCGACATTATTAATTTACTGAACATTTAAAAACTTTGATAACTTTAAAAATACCACAATTTTCACAACAGTTTTTGAAAATCCTTATAGTTTCTTATAAGAATCTTGAGGTTTATGCATTCTCTTGTAAGAAAAACGAATCCTTATTAGAAATTCCTTATTCTGGCCTGGATTTTATAAGGTTCGACATTACTAGGGTTAAAAGGTTTATTACTAAATTATCGGTATTTATCATGTATTTACGGACGGATATTTATTTTATGGTTACAGCAAGCCCTTATGTTGCTTTTTTCTGGTTATTATATTCCTATAGGAAACTAGTCATTCGCTAGTTATGCCATACAAAGTAGAAAAACCGTTAACTGCATTTTGATTAAAACAAATAGAGCGTGCATGTAACGTTTTTTCCAGGAACAGCCCCGAAAAATGCCTTTAATACTTTGTACGAAAAAGTTTAAATCACCTTCTGCGGAATTCCGCCAGCATTCAAATGCAAGATTTATGAAATGCAGTTAACGCTTTTGTCATAGAAAACGGACCTTTGAATCAAGCATGTTTCTTAAACTGGAAAAAGTCAACTGTAAGGTTTGTATATTGGTAAATCTTGAATGGATACCGTCTTCGAAATTTGTGCTAATTAACGGGGTTTCAAGTTTTTTTTAATCAAAAGCACCGTAAAATGCAGAATTTTTTGCGATTCTAATTTTATCAAAAACATGTTCGGTAAAATTGTAGAGTTGCGCAGTATTGATCATACCTTAAACAAATAATGTCATATACAATAGATTTTAGTAAACTAAATGAATTTTCCAATTTATAAAGACATCATAAACAGTTTTCGAATACAACGAATTCCAATCGAGCGAGTTGACACAAAAAGGAAATCAAATAGGACACAGTAATTGGAGACTGCCAAGTACCCAATAGCCTTATTTAATTTTGCCCACATATAAACATTTTAACTAAAAATTAGATGGCATTAACAACTTTCCAAAACAATTACTGGATCGATTTTCAATTGTAATGGTTTACAGTAAGATATAATTTTTTATATAGGGTTAATTTTAGATTAATGGGTTAGGATTATTTTAAGTTTTTTATCCTTAATTCTAATTTTTAATAAAAGGTTTAATCTTTTGACCGAGACAAAGAAAAAACCCTGAACGAATGATTTGAATAAAAAGAAAAGTTTTAAATCGAAGAAGTTTCATTATTGTAAAACGTGACGTTGGAAAAAGCCTAGGTTAAAAATTTCCTACATTATTAAATCTTTCTTAGGGTAGCCGGCGAGCGTGACAAATTTCATAACGAGTTAAATAAATTTTTCACAATTCCGAAGGGAATACCTAATGACCGAATCCTCTTCTTTCCGCAATTGCAAATAATTTATTCCTACATATTTTTTAAGGCAGTAAACGCAATTCCCCAACCACTTGTTTAAGCCGTGCGGGACTAATATTCAAATATAACATTAGTCCCTATTTAAAATTTGCTTGAAATCAATATAAATGTTGGGCAGATAATCGCTACTACGTAAAGTCAAGCTTTTCCTACACATGTACCTTATTTCATGTCAAATATGTTTTTTACCCACGAGTAAAGTTTAACAATATGGATCCAAAGCCCATACTGCAAGAGACACAGTAACTCTGTTACAGGAGAGCTTTGCATTATTTCGCGAAAGCTATGTTTTTCTTTGGTATACTTAACCCCAGAATGATACTTGGGATATACATCTGTACCCCGGCTAATTCTGTAATAGATGGAGCTGCGGCATTATTCCTGGGTAGTTTAGGCATACGATACGACAGTTAATGTGAAATATTGATCGCAAACAGTGCTTTTTTCATCTTTAATATATTTGGTCATTGGGTACAAGTGGATCCTAGTGTAGCAGTAAGTACTTTCGTTTTAAAGTATTATGAATAGGTGCTATATTTTGTGTATTTCTAGATCAAACCGCAGTGGCATTTAGAAAAAAGTTTTTTGACCTAACAAAACCTGAAGATATAGATTAAGAAGAACGTAGAAAACTTTATTACTGACTCTAAAGATTCTCTGCTTGACCCCCAAGGGGACGACTGTCATATCCGATTTTAGAGAGAACTCTGAAAAGGATGAAGATTCTCGAAATGAAGACAATGGAGAATATTGTGGATACAACTTGATAGTTGTTTTACGCGATTTTCATACACTAAATGCCGAAACTGTCAAACTTATCAAAAAAATACTATCCATTAAACTATATGCAGTGTACTTACTAAAAATACTATTAAATAGGCCACCTACTACTACAGGAAAATGTACATTTTTCTCCAAAAGCCCAGATCCAAAATTCAGGGTAAACTGCATTCTACTTAAACAATTTATTTGTTTGCAGCATAAAAAAGTCAACAAGTCAAATAAATAATTATAACATAATCCAGTACGGCTCGTAGGTTCTGGAAGAGGGTGGGCACAAAAAACTTACCTACTAATTTTTGTACATAAAGTCCATTCTCCTATTTTTATGCGAGAAACTGAATTTTCGTGTTTCTTAGCCCTCTCTGCGATGTGTTTTAAATCAACTAACCCATGTTTATTCCACGCACGTAATTTATTTTTTTTGAAAATTAAGCACATAAAACAAAAAAGCTTATTGGTTACTGAACATCCGCATATCCACTCGTATTTTTCATAGATATTTCTGTTGAATACTCTATTGTAAGTTCGGCCTTTACCTGCGGAAGTGTAGTGTATTCGAAGATCGGGATTATGTCTTCCTTTTTTCTTAATTAAAAGTTTATCTTCAAGTGATATCGGGCTTTTTAAAAGATTTTGCACACAACTTACTTCCGCTGCAGCGCGCTGGTGCCATTATTGTTAATAAAAAATAAAGTTTATTTAAAAAACAAAACACGTAATTCTCTTAAAACTTAAAAAACACAACGGTGCGCGGCGACAAAAAAGTTAGAAATCAAACAAACTGACACATATACCAGCTGCTGTTGAAGAGACATTGCGTTCGGTGCCCCAAATTGACGATATATTGAATATATTGAATATTTTATATTCAACCGTTTGAGCGGGCGGAAGGAAGGTTTGAGACCATCCTTAAATAGTAATTACAATTACGTATAACTAAAATAATGCACAATGCAACAAATTACTTGTATTACTTTTTATCTGGGCGGTTGGGTGGGCACGTGCCCTTGTGCCCTTTAGAACCAGCCGCCACTGACATAATCATAAACATGTGTATGAATCTCCTTTAACCTATTTTTGTTATTTATTAAATAAATGTTGTTTTCTCAAAAATCAGACTACTTTTATTTGGAGACAGCTGTACCCTAATGTATCAGATTTAGTTAGGAAAATATATTTTTTAAGTGTAGCATTCCAGGGTAAAAATAAAAGTTACTGTTAATAAGCAAGCGACTATCTACCAAATAAAAAAGGATATGCATAATAAAATCCTTGTCATAACGCCTCATAATTTTGTGTGTTGAAAAAAACACGACTTTGCATACAGCAAATGAGCAACATTGATTTTTCTCATTAAAATCAATGATACTATTATTAAAAAGTAAATTAAGTTTAAGAAAATAACTTTTCATATTTTTATTAGAAAATTCCAATGAAAAATGTAGGTAGTGTAACGGGCACCCCATAAATTTAAAGGAATTCAATAACTTTTTTAACGCGCAAATATCTTGCAAACATATCGATGGGATTTTGCTGGATTATCGGATATATCGCTTTATGTATCTCGAGCAAATTGCAGGTTATCATAAAACAGAAATAAATCATTTACCGCAAAATTGTACAACTTTCTGAAATCACTGTGATATATTTGATAGCAATGAACATACATTTCAGTTTAAATTGTTTCGTGCAAATGTCAACTACAAAAGGCATGATTATAAGAAAAAGTAACCCCAATTAAAAACAGCACTGGTTCAAAAAGTTATTTTTTATTTGGTCTAAAAAAATATAACAAAAATTCACTAATTATTAATTAAATATTTTAAATTATGCTCTTGTTTTCTAAAAAATATTTTTTGTTTTCCCCAAATATTTTTTGTTTCCCCACGTTCAAAACCTGATTTTTCACAGCTTTTCAAAACTTTAAATCCAAAATTTTACTACAATAATTGTTTTTTGTACTAATCATGATACTAAATAAGACTTATGTAGTATCATGGTACTAATGGATTAAGTAAACAAATAAATCTAACCTCACAATTAGGCCGTTTATATTTCTCCAATAATATTTCGCTGCTGCACATTTGTAAGCACTTTTTTTCAGGTTTAATTTCCTAATGGGCATCGAGTTTTTTGTAAAATTCTTGTTCTTGATTAAAAACCACTTCTTGTAAACACGAAGTGAACAACCGATTGTTACATTAGGCGTTTAATTTTGTATTCTTTGCATAGTGTATTTAACTTTTTTTTAGTAGGAGCACAAATCGCTTTTCTTTCTTACAAAATGAACAAACATTTTATCCACATTTTGAAAATACATTAGAATACATTAATGTATTTTCTTATATATTATATACAGGGGTCATTTAGAGTCTATTTATATTCCTTAATCTCAAAATTTAGAAGAGCTTCGTCAAATAATCACAGAGAACGACAGTTCAGTTTAAAAAAACGAATTAATCGATTTAAAAAAATAATATATCAATATTTAGGGATTTTAAAGACCTTTAAAATGATGTATTACTAGATACCAGAGCTGGGAATTATCTAAGATAAAAGATACAATTATTATCTTATCTTAAGATACTTTATCTTAAATACTTTTCAATCTTGGTATTTATATTTAATAGTTTAGATACATATTGAAAGTATTTGTATCTTGTATTTTTAAAAAGTATCTTAAATACTAGAAAAGTATCTTAAATACTTTAAAGTATTTCAAATACTTTTTTTTAACTTTAAATACTTTACAACCGGTTTTTATTAGTAAAACCGTCAATAACCTGAAGTGGGGGTGGAGACTGAGACAAAGCGCATCAGAGGGAGTAGTGCATTTACTAGTAGTTCAGTGGTGCATATTTGTATTGTTTTTTAAAAACTGCATATTTTATAGTTGTTATCTAATAATAAGCAAGGTAAGTAAAACAAAGCAAAAGTTTAATAGGAATAAAAGAGCAAAATATGGTAACAAATTTAAACACATTTATCGCTAGTTTGTTACCAAAGAATGAAAATATTAAAAATAACAGGGTGTGTGCTAGCTAAGCTTGACACTCAAGCTAGCACACAACCTATAAAATAATCAAATTGATAATAAATTATGTTGAGCACCATTAATTACTATTTTAGTTTATTGTATTATTTTTATCACATAACAGTTACTGCTAATCCTGTCTTCATATGTAGGTATGCTAAACTATTTTTAAATTAGTAGACTTTACTTTAGACATAATTGGATATTTTTATTCACTTTTCCTTTGAAAGTATTTGTTATCTTAAAATGTATCTTAAATACTTAAAAGTATCTTGTACTTTAAATACTTTTAGGATTTTTCAAAAATATTTTATCTTTTTCAAAAAAACTTAAATACTTTTAGAAAGTATCTTTCCTAGCTCTGCTAGATACTTTACCTGTCTCGAAGATTTTTCAAAAACAATTCCGAGAAATTTAGGGTGAAAAGTTTTAAAATAAACACCCTGTATTATCACTAATAATTATTATAATGGTATGTTGTTTAAATTATTAAAGAAAAATATACTTTTAGGTAAAATTTAGCATTCCATATTTCTCATAATTTTACTTAAAATATATTTTCTTTAACCATATAAATAACATACGATTATAATAATTACACTGTAGGTAAATTTTTACTTATTTTACCAACATTTGTATGCTTTTTATTTTGTTTAATATAATATCCTCAATTATACACAATAAAAAAATTAGCAAAAAAATATTTTGAATTTTGATCAATTAACCTCAAATTTTGCAAGATTTTTTTTTAAATTGAAAGTGATATGGGGGTCCAGCCTCATTGCTTTTTTAAATTTATACAGGATGTTTCTTTATGAATTGCTTCAAAACTTGAAGAATAAATATCTTTGAACTTTGACCTGATACAGCTAAACCAAGCACGGATTTGTAATCTATGACCAAAAATTAAGTTTACGTGTCCGAGAGTTTAGCTGTGATATTTTTACCTCCCTACAGTATTATTAGTAATTATAATATATTATACAGGCTGGCCGAAAAAAAATGAAACAGTAGTTTTCGGGTAGTGATTTTTTTAAAACGAAGAAACGTCAACTTTTATTTCAAGGGGGACATCTTTTGCAAATCACTTTACCCCTTCGAGAAGTGGTCACAACCCCTAACATTTGCATGATAGGGAAGTGATACCTCATTTTAAAGGTCTTGCTCCACTGAGTATCGGGTTTTGGGTTTAAGTAGAAACAGGGCACTTTTTTATTCGAATAAAAAAATACAGATAAGAAATTTGACGAAAAATTGTGTAGAAAAACTGTCGAATCATAAAAAGCTTTTAGCACTCTTTTAAGTACACAAAATTAGATCATTCAACAATTTTTCTTGACGGTAACCTTACAGGAGAAATGTATTTGAAATTACTAGTAGATGTAGTTCATCCCTTACTGGTTGAACTATTGAAAACAGCTACTTAAGTAGCGGTCTCTCAATTGAGAGACCGTTTAATATTTTAACAAGATGGAGCACCTTCAAACTATGCACTGCGTATTAGAGAGTTTTTGGACCGAGTTTTTCCTGGATAATGGATTGGCCGAAGAGAAGCTCTGGATTGGCCGGCCAGATCTTCAGATTTAACTCCCCTAGACTTTTTTCTGTGGGGTCATTTAAAAAGTAAAATTTACGCTACAGTGCCGGGGCCAAGAGTTGCTACAACGTATCGAGGATGAATGCCGTCAAATACGTCAAAATGTTAGAAGTCGTTTTGAATAAAATTTGTATTTTTGTATGGTAGTTGGTGGCAGATATTTGAGCACTTAATAGAGTAATTAACTTTGTTCTACTACTCTCACTGGTTTGCAACCAAAAATTCCTTGTCTGTAGTTTTAACTTAAAATATATCGAACACAAATTTATAGAATTTGAATTTGTTTTATTCCCAAGACGCTTTGAATAAGATACCTTGCCCTATCATGTATATTAAAATTGTAGGGATTATAACTACTGCGCGAAGGGGTAAAATGATTTGCAGGAAAATATATTGCTAAATATGTCGCTCTTGAAATTGAAGTTGACGTGTCTTTGCGTTTCTTTAGAAATCACTGCTTACTACCCAAAAACTGCTGTTTTGTTTTCGTTGTCATAAATTCAGATTCATGAGTTACAGTTTAACCTTAGGGATTTTTCTAAAGTGTGTCCCCAAATCGAGTTGCCAATGGGAAAAACTTTTTTATCATGGGTTCAACAAAAAAGTTATTCTTTATAAAAACTTCTTGTTTAAAAAATAAGATTTCAAAAATAAAATTATTTCAAATATACAGGCTGCTTAGAAATTAAGAGTACCTAAGTACCTATATACAATATTCTTAACACCCTGTACATTTCATTCAAAACTTTTTATATAGGATTTTTTTTTGTTTTGAGCAGGAGTTTTTGTAACAAATACTTTTTTTTGGCAACCCGATACGAGTGGAAAAATTCATTTGTCTCGTTTAAAGTACTTGACCTTTATCTTTATTAAAAAAATAATTAATACCCAAACTTGTTGAACCTGTTGTTGTCATTTTCTATACAAACTCCTTTTTTTAAAACCAAATCGATTTTTTGCATGTAACATAATAATAAGTATAAAAGTTTGTATTTTTGGTATATGTTTTTGAATGCCTCTAGTATCTTATTTTGTCAAGTGA